TGGCGTCTGTCCGATCACTTGTACTGTGAGCGGCCACTCGATGGGCCTAGAGTACTGTGCTCTCTCTCTCTCTCTTTAGGTCGAGAGAGGTGGGAAAGCGGGTTCCCAGTATTCGAGTGGGTTTGGACAGCTCGCCGAATGCCGGCGGAACCAGCTCTTGACTCGGACAGATGAGGTGAGCTGTATTTATGAGTGTTCAGGTCGACTCGACACCTGCCCGATCACTCGTATTATGAGTGGCCACTCGACGGGCCTAGAGTACCGTGCCTTCTCTCTTCAGGCCGAGAGAGGTGGGAAAGCCCGCCTCAGCACGTGGGGTAGCAGATATCTAGCTATACTGGCGGCTTTGAGGTTTGCTGGCGAATTTGACTTCAAACTTGGTCAGGCGAGTTGTGTTAAAAGGTGAATTCTCGTGGCTTAGGCGAATTGTATGGGCAACTTCTCCTTGAAGGCGAATTTCTTGCAAGTTCACAGAGGTATTTTTTACCGTCTACAAGACCCCCTTCAAAGTTTTCAGACCTAAACCGGCTTGCGTGTGGTCTGGAATACTTTGAATAAAGAAGTTTTTGGCAAAACAGGTGCATTTGGTTTCTTTTAGGATTTTTAGCAAACCCTCAGCTATCAACGGGTTTGATATGCCTTTACCGATTACCGTTTGAATCGGGCTAGCCATACTATTCCCCTCAGTATGATGAGTTATCGAGTAGTTTCTCTTAGACTTGATGCTAAGATTTCTACTCTAACCCTCAGTCATTTGAGGTGTGGGTCTAAACGAGGCCATCTCGTTGGCAGTTCAAGGCTTTGGACAGGTCATTTGTCTCAAAGGCGAATGAGCCGTTCAGGCGAAGTTAGGTTTTGAAGGCGAAATTTTGCTCAAATCGTGGATTTGATTGGAGTTTTCGTAGGTGAGACCTTTCCTTCGGGCGAACCCAGGTCTAGCGGGAGTGGGCCACGCGTCTGTCGGTGGGGCTTCGTGCTTTCCAGTTAAGGCGGCGTGGTTTTAAATTCGGTGGCCGTGGGTTTTCGAACTCCCAAGTCGGATACAACCGGTCGATTCCGACTTACGGGTTCCGGGTTTTTGAAACGCGGCCCGTTACCGTCTTGACATGTTGGGGGCAATCTGGACCGTTGATTCCGATCGTGGTCACGTTTCTCGTTTGCCAGTGTTTCTCTTTTTGAGGGCGATCGTGGCCACGTCAGCAACCCTGCCTTTAAATAGGCTATTCTCTCCCTTCAAGAGCCACCGTGCTCAGGGATCTTAAAAATTTTCTAAAGAGAGAGAGAGAGTTCCTGCTCGATCCCCCAATGGCGCCGAAATCTAAGAAGTGTGTTGCGAAGGGAGGAGGTCCCGGATGCTATTCTGACCGCCTCGCCGCCAGTGTGCTCGCCAGCGTGCGTGAGACGCACTTGGGTAAGTCAAGGGGTTCGTTTGATAATCTTGCATAGGTTACAGACGTCGGGTTTTGTCCCTTCTGAACCTCACCATCCTTTGGCAGACTCTCCCCGATTTGAGGCAAAGTCGCCCTTTTTAGGCGGATTTTGCATTCATTCTTAGAGGACGATCTCTGTCTCCACGGGCGAAATTCACCTTTATTGTGCGAAGGCGAACTCATCTTTGATAGGCGAGTTCGACCTTTTCTCTGGTAAAGGGGGGTATCGTTTATACAGGCAGACCTCGTTCTAGTTAAGCGGATTTCACCTTTTGACAGGCGAATTCGCCCGTCTTTACTTGGTAGGCGGATTTACCCTTAGGGCGGATTCTGTCTTGATTCTTTGGTTCTTCCTTACAGCGACCTTTTCTGACGAAGCGGGGGTAGCCATCGGTCTCGCCGGAGGCACAGGTTATACGGCGCCTCCCAGATTTCCTTCCTTGGATCCGGTGCCTGTGTTCTCCGCTGATAAGCCGGACGGCCTGATAAGGAGGGTCACTGATGGGCACCATCTAACGCTGCGTGAGCTGATCACCGACGCGGTGTTGACAGACAAAGCCAGGACGGAGTTACAAAAACCCCAGTTCTTGTTCGGTGATGCTGCGACTGATCCCTCTGCCCTGCTGATCAAGGAGAGCAGGTGGTTCCGCGTGGTGGACGGGGTCCACTATTATCTTCCCAGTATGCCGAGAGGGTTTTCGATCATCGATTTGCGATCTTTCGCGGTCCCCAGAGTGATGAACTGGGATTTGACCCCTACTCAGGACGGGGTCACTTGCGGTGTCTTCACGGGCTCCACGGCTAAGTACAGGGTGGAGAGTTCCTGCAAATGGGTGACCGGTCTGCGTTCTGGCCTACCTTCAACAAGGCGCCTGCCGGAGAGACGACAGTGGTCCTGGAGACCTTTCGTCATCGTTTCTTTCAGGCTGGCGGAAGTTTTCCCCCAAAGGACTTCAGGGCCCCAGGGTGGATCTATTCTACATCTGGAAGCAAGACCTGGTGGTCCAAGATTACCGATTACATTTTGGCCGAGAATTCCGACCTCGCGAATTTGGATTTGTATGCTGCCATTCAGGCCACTCAACATGATCTGAAGATTAATGCTTTTCAGTTCCATAGCATCTTGGAGCTGTATTGTGCGGACAGTGGCACATTTTTACCCCCAACAATGAACTCGGCATAGCCCTTCACGAGATGTACGACGTGTCAGGACTGCCTTTAGGAGACTTTCCGTATGAGGAGTACGTCCCAGGTCAAGATGAGATTGATCAACTTTCAGAACGCTCCCCTTTGGTGGTCGAGACCTTGTGGGAATTGCTCTGCCACTATCATATATGTCTCAATACCTTGGGGGCGGTCGACCATAAAGGTAAGAAGAAAAGGGCCCATGGGATCAGCCACAAGAACTGGGCTGATTATTTATTCCCTGAGAATGATGTCAAAGGAAGGCCTGCTCTGCCGCTGAACGAATGTGACCAGGCTGAAGTGGAAAGGAGGATGGCCGAAGGGGAAGCCACTGTAGCTCTCGAGTGTGACGAGGGCGGGTTCAAATCCGGAACGGTCTTCCACTCGTTTCACCATCAGGCCCAGTCCCCTATATCTGAAAAGGCTCTGTTCGTGGGGTACCTCATGCTGTGGCTAAAGAGGTGCGTAGTCCCCACTCATTCTTTTGAGGCGCTTCCTGTGGAGGTCGTGTATCCTACAGTTTGCTTAGCCCATGGGAAGTCCTACTCCTTGGTGTCGGCGATGGTAGCGTGTATCCATCGGGGACTCCGCACCCTGACGGCCTAATTCTGCAGTGTATCGACTATCGATGAGGGGGAAGGAGAGATCATCAGGACCCCCAACCCTAGGGTGGGGCTGCCGTACACTTATCTGATGGCGTGGTTCGTATACCACCGCGAGTGCTTAATGAGTACCCCAGCGACTCTTCAAGGAGACAAGTTCGTCCCATTCGTTCAGCGTTTGGAGAGGTGCTCTTGGAAGTGTAGGGATATTCCCGATGCACGGAAGATGCTGTCCCATTTTGGGCGTTATAACTTTCGTCGTTTCTTCCCTTACTTCAGTGGAGGAGGATATGGGGAGTCTCTTAGAGAAGTGCCAACGGCGGACCATCACACAGTTCTCTCCTGCGGCGCTTTTCGATGGTTGGTGAACATTCGGCCAGGGTATCATGTCCTACGAACAAGTTCTGTGTGCTATCTCGAGCCGTATATCCCTTGCAGGTTTGCCCGCGAGTTTGGGTATGATCAATTGTACGTGGGCAACGTTAATCCCCGCCTGCACTTCGAAGGATGGCTGGTGGACGGAGCTTGGGGATGGTTCTGGACTCATGCTGGTGGTACCCATGCCCGTTTTGATCTACCTGCGAAGGATCATAATTTGCACCATACGCTCATGTACTGCCGGTGGTATCGGGGTGCCAGCGCTAATCCCGAAGGCTTCTGGTTCCAGGGCTCGTGTCTGGCAGAGCACGTGCGTCGACCAATGGGGTTCTCTTGTCCTTCGAGGCGGAGGGGCCATCAAACTGCTAAAGAGTGGTTCTCGGAGGATCCTGCCGAGGACACCGAGGGTTTTGACGCCAGCTTAGACGAATCTGGGGCCCCCGAGGCTCGAGCCCCTTCCCCTAGCCCTTCGTTGGATCCTCCTATCGAGCCAAGAGAATCTGAACGCCCAGAGTAGGCCCGGAGCACGATAGCTGGATGGATGGGGATGCCCCTTCTGTCCCCGAGTAGCTCGCTTCTCTCCAAACGTCAGCGAGAGGCAGCGAGTTGAGTTGTCGGGTCAAGAGGACCCGCCGTGATGAGGCGGGCTTGAAGACGTCGAGTTGGCGGAGGGTCAGGATGATCTCTCAGGTGATCCTCCCTAGAGTTGGACTTTGCCTCTGGGTGTGAGCTTGCTCTGTCCACTCCTTCTGCGGGGGTTGCTCCTGTGACTTCGAAGGACACTCCTCCTCTGTCTGGTGTGGGGCCACAGGTGGGGGTTTCAACGACTCCTGCGCCTGCACCAGGAGGTAATCTTTTAGTGCGGTACTCTTGGGTACAAAGTCGGATCTACATCTCCTGACATTTGTGTCGAATTTGTGCAGGTGCAGCTGAGAGAGTGATCTCCATTCCTTCTGACTGGAGATGGAGCAGAGCTTGGTGGTTCAGGTAAGCGTAAGCTTTAAGCGTTGTTGATCCTTTTGTGCCGAAAGGGTATTTGTCAATCTTTTCTTTGCATCCGCAGGCGACCCTTCCCATGAAGCTACTGGCAAAGAGGATCCCCCTTCTTGGGAGGGCCATTCGGCCGGAGAGACCGGTGAATCAGAGGCGGATGATGACGTCTCGATTCATGAGGCGCTATCGAGCGAGGAAGAGGCGTCGGCTCCTGAAGACACGTCCGGTTGACAAGGGGGAGTCCTTGCTCTTGGGGAAGCGATGGTTGAGGGTGGACCCCCAGCGCAGGAGTCTCCGATCCAAGGGATACGTCGTTGCCCTATGCTCTATGGTGGCTGTTGGCTGGCGCGGCGCCTTACCGCCTGACGGCGTCGCAAGGTGCGTCGGCTTTAGAGGTGGCCTTATCGCAGTCATGACTACCGCTACCTCGCTTGCGACCTCATCCGTAGGAGAAGAGGCTGTCCTCTCTCCCTTGGAACATTTGCATAAAAGGAAGGTGGCCCAAACCCTAGCTAACTTTCAAGACACTTTAGCTCATTGCATCAAGTTCGCGTTGGAAGAGAGCTGCCCCTTCGAGGAGTTCAAGGAGGACCTGGATCACGACATGGTCTTCCTAGTCAAGAAGCTTGGCGCTACTACGGCTAAACCATACTATCTGAAGGTTTGACCAAGTGGGTGTTTGATATCATGTGCTTCGCAACTTGACTGTATTGCGAAAACTGGGGCGCTGGGTCTTCGTCTTCAGATTCGTCCCATAGCGTGCGTAGGGGACGATCGATTCGACCGAAGATAATATCTTTTCGATAATTATTCCGGGCTGGCACGACGAGCACAGCTTGTGATGACTTGATCGGCTGTGCCTTGGCGACGTATGACGAGCATACTGGCAAGTACAGGGAGGGATCACTGTAGAGTTTTGACCATAGGTTATTGGGCGCATCATCCTCGGATGTGGAGCAAGACGACAAATAAGTAAAGTTGGACTTCTCATTCATGATAATTTCCTCCACCTGAACAGCGTTGGTTACATTGTGACTTTCGTAACCGATTACAATTGACTCGAAGTCGTTTAGTATTAGGCTATCACCATACTCAGGCTCGCTATCTGCCTCGTTGCCACTCTCCAGTTCCTCCACTGGCGGCTCATCGGGGTCCTAGTACAGCAGAGAATCCGTGAAGTAGTTTTCGACGCCTTTGAAGGGTTGTTTGTCGGCCACTACCGTCTTCACTTGCTCGTAATCGTCCACATATTTCAGGCATTGGTGTAATGTGGACGGGACTATTCGGTTGCCATGGATCCATGGACGTCCCAAGAGTATGTTGTAGGAAGGTTCAGCGTCGATGATGTAGCAGGTCACCTCCGTCTTCATGTCGCCTATTCGACATTTCAGGCGGATTTTTCCGAGCGGTCGAGTCCCCGTGGCATTAAAGCCAAAGATGGTCGTCGTGGTCGAGGATAGGCACTTTGGTGGTATCCCCAAGTGTTTGATCAATTTCAAGGGCACGATACTTAACGTAGAACCTGGGTCGACCTGAATTCGATCCACCTTCGACGAACCGACGTACCCCGTGAAGTATAGTGGTCGGACCTGAATTCGATCCACCTTCGACGAACCGACGTACCCCGTGAAGTATAGTGGTCGGTCATGAGATGTGCTCTTGATGAGCATGTCCTCCGGAGTCGGTCATGAGATGTGCTCTTGATGAGCATGTCCTCCGGAGTGAAAGTGATGCACGGGACCCGTCTCTCTGTGGTTTGGCAACACGTTGTACATTCTTGTTCTGTGTCCTCCCCCTCGAGAAGTGAGTGGAAAAAGCCTCCGAGTCGGCCAGTGCCTCTTGCAGAGCTTCCCGGGTAGGCCTGGATAGCCGTAGGAGATCATACATGGTAATTCGCACGGGGATGCCTTTCAGTTGCGCGAGTACGTTGAATCGGAAAGGTTGATGGCTTGAGCTTGGCCTATCTGGATTAGGAGGGGTCGTCGTGGTTGGCCTCGTGGGAGGTCCCGCTGGGTTATCCGCCCTCGCGGGGTACTCCTTAGCGAATTCCTTCCCTGCTCTTGTGGCGAGGACAGTGGTTTCCTCTTCGGAGTCGATCAGGGTTGTCATTGCTGTCTTTTCCCCACTTAGGATGGCGGAGACGACGTTAAAATGTTTTCCCTTAGCCTCTTTCAGGGGCTTTGTAGTCCATTATTTGTCGTTAAGGAGGTCCGGATGGACCCACATCACCTGACCCGATGGCAGAATCTACGGAGCTAAACCTTTCTCTCGCTGGTTGTGAGGGTCATCGTTAGTGATCTTCAAGACTGCCTTGGGGATGTGAATTATCCCTGCCAGAGCTTGGACTGCTAGGAGATTTGTTCCAAAGCTCAAGGTGATCATATTCGTGGTCACCTGCTTCTGAACTTTCTCCTTCTTTAGGACCCTCGCATCGTAGAGGGGTTGGAGCTTATCCTTGAGGACGTAACACTTAGTCGTGTGGTGGCCCAGGAATCTGTGGTAGGCACAATAACTCGGGTCATTGGTTTTGTCCGCCTCCTCGGGTTTCGCTGCTTCTGGTAACTTAATCCGACCGCTCTTGAGTAGAGTATCGAATGTCGCCACCACCTGATCCTCCTTGAAGTCGTATTGCCGCGGGGGGCGTTGTTCAAATTGTTTGGGCTTCGGCCTTTGAGCAGCCTTTGGCGTCGGGGCGGAGTCGACGGCCATGACTCTTTTCCCCTTGACTGAGGGGGATTCTTTGGCACGGCTGGTTCCGCAGCTCCCTTCTTGGGCTGCAGCTCTTCGGCCTCTAGCCTTTTGATCATGTTTTCTACTTGCTCGCCCTGACGAACAAGCTCCTTCCATGTTCGGGTTTTCACTGCGTCCACTTTGGATAGAATATGGATTGAGAGATTATTGCGGCACATCTCGATCAGCGTGAACTCGGAAACTTGGTCCCGACAGTGGACTGATCGGTTCCGGAACCTTTTTACGAAGTCGTTGACTGACTCCGACTTTCGTTGCTTTTCGGCGAGGAGGGTGGCCAATGACACTTTCGTGTCGTCATCGAAGAAGCGAGCTAGGAAGAGCCTTTCAGCGTCGGCCCAAGACTTGATAGAGCCTGATTCTAACTTGCGGAACCATTCGAAGGCCACCCCCTTGAGGGTGCCAATGAACAGCTGAGTGAGAATGGCATCGTTCCCTATAAGGAATCCGGTCTGCGCCATGAAGTAATAAATGTGATGCGAGGGCGAGCCCTTGCCGTTGAATTGCACCAAGCTAATTGGCTTGAACTTCGCCGGGTATGGGACTGTATCCCATTCGACAGGATAGGGTCGGACCACCCCCAGCTTGTTCATGTTCTGCTGAAGCTTGAGTGCGTTGAGTTGGTTTTGGAACTCGTCGTACCTCTTTTCGTGGGCGCTACCCCCAGTATGCGACGTCCCTAGCGACGTCTTGGAAGAGTAATCGGATTGTGGATTACTGTTATCTTCCGTCTCAGTCACTGGACGATGGGGAGGTACCCACTCCTTATCCCCTGTTCGCCGGGGTAAGGTGCGCTGGGCTCTCTTCTTCTTCTTCTTCTTGTTCAAAAGTTGTTCCATCATCTCCCTCAGGGAATCTATGGTCGCTTGTTGCTCTTCGAGTTTCTGGGCGACCGTCTGCTCATGGGCGAGTTCAGTCATGTGTACCCTTGCCAGCGTGTCCTGACTTGAGCACGAGGTTTGAGACGTAGCTGCCGCCGAGTGAACCTCGTCTTCGCCGTAGGTGGGAGGTGCTAAGGTGGAGTAATCAAACCCAATGCTTACCCCTCTGCGACTACGTGTATGCTGGTATATGTCGCCTTGTCCATGTTGAACAAGGCGAGGATTAGGCCCCAGGACGGAGACCGAATCTGGAGAGTCGGAAAGTGCCGCCTTACCCTTGTCCGTCATGTTGATTGTAACGGACGGGAGCTCTAGGTCGCCGGCAGTGCGTCCTTTTTTGTGACGACGCTTTTGACGGGAGGGCCTTGGTCGAGAAGACTGTCGAGAAAGTCTCTCAAACACCGAAGGCCTCGTCGTTCCTATGCATTGGCAGTCGGCAAGTACTGTGTGGATGAGCCTTTCGCAATGGCACTGAGGATTCAGCTCATGTATGGTGCGTTTGCGGGTTAAGTATTCCCGGAGGTCCTCTGTGGGCGGTTGGTGACAACCCCCAGCATCAGAAGGATCGCCCGGGTGATTGCACGAGAGAGCCTTAGATGTACTCTCTGGTGCACGCTGAGTGGAGCGTTTTGGTATTGGAGTTAGGCGATATCGCCTTGACGGGCGAGTTTTCGCGTTTGGGCGAACTCCAGTATGTAGGCGAGTTTCAACTCTTCGCTTTAACGGGCGGGTTCGTGAGGTGTCGCCTACTTCTTTGCTTTTACATTTATCCGCCAAAGGGCTATGGCGAGGCTCGCCAGCCCTTGGGGATTCGCCTATTCGGGTAGGATCGCTTGCTCGGGGTGGTTTATTCGCATTAGGGATGTGACCTGAGAAGCGAAGTCTTCCTGAGCGAGCGGCCCCATCCTTCTCGGTCGGCGCTCCTGATTTGGAGGGCCTTCCGACGTCGGGCAAGTT